CATCTAAAACTATTTATAGGTTTAAAAAGATTGTTCACATGATTTGGTCATGTGAACAGGGGGGTTGTGAAGAAATTTAGTGTGAGGTAGGTTAGTACTGATGTTAGAAGCACAGCACTATATTCTTAAGTTCTCCTTTTTGAAATATTGACAGTGTTTAATCTGTTGTTATGTCTTGATTGAAACAGGTCTAGTTACATGTCTGAAACATTTCTTCAACACATAATAAAACGCTTGAAAGACATTAGATGAGAATTGTCTGAATGCCTGTGACTCAGCCGTGGGCCAGCAGGGGGCGAGCGAAGGCATTGAAGAAACTATAAAACATAAACTTCCGGTTTTATGGCCAGTGTGGGTTTCCTGTCTGCAGACAGCAGCAACAAACCTCCACTCAGATTCCAGATTCTGGTGTTTGGTTTTCATTCCTTCTATAAATCACTTTATCTAACATCTGTGTTGATCATCTCGACTTCAGTTTATTGAATACAAATTTTCTTACAAGATGATGAAGTCAAATTTATTGGGAAAGTTTGGTGAGATATCCCTGATGTTTCTGTTTTTACTTTTTCAAATTTGGAGATCGCTCAAGCTTAAGTTGTTTATTATTATTATTATTATTATTATTATTATTATTATTATTAAGAATTTAATAAGGGGTTGTGATGCCACAGGAGTACACTCTGACCTTCAACATATTAATCATTTTCAGGAGAAAACAAAGATTTGCCAGAAGCAACTCTGACGCTGGTCGAGGTCAGAAGTGTGTCTGATAAAGTGAGGTCGTGTTTATAAAATTATTTCCATCTCCACCAGCTAATCAAACCCATATGTTTTGGGCTTGTCCTAAATTAAATAGGTTTTGGAGCAACATTTTTAAAACACTTAGTCAAGCACATGATCAGACCATCCTCCCCAATCCACTGTCAGCTATATCTGGCTTTCCTCTGGACCCGGACCTGTCTCCTTCTCTGAAACAGGCCCTAGCTTTCACCACTCTTTTAGCTCGCAGACTTGTTTTACTGAAGTGGAGGCTGGGCACCCCCC